CCGCCACCGCCGCCACCGACCGCCCCTGTTCCCTCTCTTCCAGAGCCTGGACGTGGGCAACAACCAGCTGAGGGAGCTGCCCGCCGCGCTGGCCGACTGCCCCCGGCTGAAGGAGGCCAACTTCAGGGGCAACCAGCTGAAGGACAAGCGGCTGGAGAAGATGGTCAACGGCTGCCAGACGAAGGCCATCCTGGAGTACCTGCGGGCCGGGGGCCGCGGGAAGGGGAAGGCCGAGAGCGCCAGAGAGGAGGCCAGGAAGAAGAAGAGGGAGAAGCAGCAGAAGAAGGATGGCGGGGACGGGGAGCAGGACGAGCTGGAGGAGGCGAGCAAGCTGCTGGTGAAGGTTCTGCACGTCTCCGAAAACCCGGTGCCCTTGGTGGTCAAAGCGAGCCCGGGCATCAAAGATGTTCGACCCTTCATTGTGTGTTGCGTGCTGAAGGGGGTGAACTTGAAGCCGGGAAACGCTCTGAAGAGGTTCCTGTCCGCACAGGTAATTCCTGCAGTTTTGCGTTACCCGCTTGGAATGGGAATGTTGCTAGTAGCGCTGGAAATGGGCCGTTCTAGGCTCCTTCCAGCAGATAAGTTTCTGAAGCTTTGGGTGAACCCCTCACCTATCAGGTGGGGAGGGTACGGTGGGATGGGGGGGGTGCAGCGTGGCCTCTGCCAGCAGCGGTGCCGCCTGGTCGGTCTGTAATCAGACTGGTTTTCATGAAGAACCCAGTAGGAGCTGAGGTGTTACCACAAGAGGGCAATGAACACCCATGCATTTGCATTGCCTCTGTAACAGCAGCTCGTTTGTGCTGTGGAACCTGTTGAGAAGGAACAATGAACGCCCATCTGCGTTAGAAGTACCCCGGTTTAGCTCTGGGTTCCCTAATTCTGAGCTAAAACTGTCCCACACGCCTCACTTTGCAAGCAGGGTGTCGTAACCAGGCGTTCAGCTGGCATACTGCTCGCCCCTCCCTCGGATGGGAGGTGATTGCTTCTTTCGGATGATGAGACTTGCGTGTTTGTGATTGTTTTCTGATTTAAACCGTTTATCTCTCAGTTGGGAAACACGTCACGTGCTGTGCTGTCTTTGGTTTGTGATTCAGGTAGAATTGTTTTGCGGGTGAAGAGAAGGGCTCCGCTGAATGCAAGAGGGTTGCTCGCCTAGCTGGTAATGCTGCAGACACCAAGTACAGAAGAACCTGAACCCTAGGAGGAACAAATCGCGTTAATGTTTTTGATATGTTTTGATGGTGTTCTTTATGTTTTAGACTAAACTGCACGAAGACATCTGTGAAAAGCGGACAGCGGCCACGATTGCCACCCATGACTTGCAGTTGATCAAAGGTCCTCTGAGATACGACGTTCAGCCTCCCGATGAACTGAAGGTAGGGCCAGCAGCATTGGTGGGCCTTTCCAGTCTTTTTCCTTTTGCTTTCTGGAGCTCTAGAACGGAAAGAATTTTTTTCTTCCCCTGTAGATGCTAGCAAAACTAACTCCAGGAACTTTGATTTAGAATCTGTGCCAACTTTCTTGCTATCCTGCTGTAACAAAGCCTGCCTGAACAGGCCCCAAGAGCTACCTAGTGTTACTCCAGGACCAGTTATGAGTGCACCTGCCTGAGGACTTAAATCCCAGAAAGCAGGCGTAGGGCTTTTTTTTTTTCCTCTACAGACTTTCTGATCTTGCTTAATGTGTGCCTTTGCTTAGGGTGACTGAGGTATTGCTGTTTCAGTCTTGATCCTTTCTCCTGTGTTGTGGTGTTACCATCTTACTGTGCCCGGGAGGTCCGTGTGTGTTAGGATGTGCCCAGAGTGCCATACGGCAAGGCAGGTGCTCATTTGTATGAGTGCACCTCGAATGGCAGCAGCCTCCAAGGTAACATCATTAAAATCAGCTCAGGTTCTGTTGATTTACCCAGTCTTGAGATGTTTATGTTGCTGCTGTCAAAGAAGGCGGGGGGGGGGGAGAGGAGAAAAGCAGCTTGCAGTACATTTGTGTGACAGGCTCTCAGACTGCACTTCAAATTTGTCATCCTTATTTACTGAGGCCTGTTTCCCTGTGCCCGTTAATATCCTGCCCCCAGAACCCACCTCGCTGGAGGAACGAATGAACGAACAGTCGGGATATTCTGACTCTTTGGGGCTGACCCAGAGCTTTTGTGGCATTCTGCTCTCTAGACACCTTGTGTTTCTAACTGCTCTGTGCACGTGGCCTGGTCCTCAGGAATGAATTCTTCTCCTTCCTGATGGCTTGCAGAGCCTTCCGCGCACGGCTTCTGTTAGGAGGCAGCAGGTTTTCACGTTATTCAGTGAGTAATGACAGTGAAGGAGCGGGCTACGCAGACCGTCCACGCCTGGTTTAGTACCAGGGAACCAGCCTGTTTTTCAAGTGGGTGTTGTGGCTCACGCAAAGGTTTAAACTCGGTGTGATCGTAGTAGTCCATGTGAAACAGAAAGTGTATTTCCGTATGGAATAAGGCGTTAGGAATGACGGCATACAGCAGTATGGGTTTAGTTATTGTCTTGCTGACAGGGGAGTTTTAGTAACCCTAGCCTTTGCGTCACTCTTAAACTCAACTGTGTGTTTTCTTGTCTGGTGCAGATAACGCCCCTGGGTCGAAAGGAGATCAAGGCAAAGGATCTTCTCCATCAGCTGCAGTCGGAAGCTGAGGAGCAGAGGAAACAGAAGAAGCGTCAGAACGTTTCTGGGTTGCACAAGTCAGTACACGCATCTTCTGCGGTTTTCTTAATGTGAATTTTGGTAGCTCGTATGGAAAAACAGTGTTGAAGAAAACGTGTTCAATTGTATTAGGAAGCATGTTCTGCAATGGGGATGGGGCTAGCAAACCCAGCGCGAGCTTTAGGAGTTGAGATGAGAAACACTGAGCTGAATTTATACCTGAAGAGTAACCTGGAGTGAAATGAGGATGACAAATGCCTTCTGTTATTTCTAGCTGAATCAGGAGCAAATTCTTGTCATATGAGGTATTCCTAGAGGTAACATACATTTAGAGTAGCAAACAGAAAGGCAGCAAGGAGGGATGAAGTGTGTGTCATGCACGTTCAATAAACTGAGCAAATCAGGGGCGCGGTAAATCTGCACGTAGTAACCAGGTGAACCATAGAGCAGAGCGTGGCACTGCCCTGCTCTGTTCACTGCTTGTGCAGAATTCGCTGCCCGTATCCATCCCTCGTACGGCTTGGGGAAGTTTGCCAAGCGCATGGTGGCAGATCTGTGTATCGCTGTAGTGAGTAAGATGGAAAATTAAGTAAGCTGTCTGGAAGAATCAGACGGTGGTCTCTGATCTTCCTGTTGGAGCACCGGCGTCTCCGAAAGCACTACAGAAGCGTGGCTATTAACACGTGAGTCACTTCATGGTTCTAGCCCATCGCTTCCTGCAGCTGGTGGCTTTCCTCAGCTGTACCACCATGATACAGCTTCGCTGAATTTTCGTGCTCCGACTCCTGGTTTTGCTGCGTGGTCGATCAGGATCACAGTAATTCGGTCTTGCCACTGCTTCGGCCGTTGTGTCCAGCTGCTGTTTCAGTTGCTCACTGTCTGCTTCTTTGTTTTTGTTGTCAGGTATCTCCAGTTACTGGATGGCAAAGATAACTACCCGTGTCTTGTGGATGCCGAAGGCGTTGTGATTTCTTTCCCACCCATAACGAACAGCGAGAAGACAAAGGTACTGTTGGTGGGAATACATCAGTCAGGGTTAAACAGCATTTCTTTCTGCTGAGAGATACTTAGCCCCAGGTTCAAAGATACGCGCAGTTCTGTGAAACTCGTGATTGCGTTCAAAGCCTGAATCTTCTCTGCTAGAGTGTCAAACTGAGAGGGATCTTGGAGTTCTGTTTTTACCTTTGTAAATCTGCGAGGCTCTGGCAAGCTGTTCCAAAGGCACCAGTCCGCCTTTGCAGAGCTGGCTTTATCAACGGGCAAGAACATGGTTTTTGGCTTGGAAAGAGAGGCCGTACTTTGCCTCCGGTTGAATTGAATGAAAGCCCCTCACTCAGTTTGTGTATCGAAACGCTGCCAAGCGATGGCTCCGACTCCTTACTTGCTTTACCTGTGAAATTCTTACAGATTAGAAAAGACACCCGTGACCTATTTCTGGAAGTGACAAGCGACACCAGTTTACAGATATGCAAAGATGTCATGGACACACTAATTCTGGTAAGTAGTTCAGTAAAATAATCCTGTCCTTGTTGTGCTTCTTAACAAAACGTTTAATTGCTTGTGTATATTGAGAAGAATACAGAACTTAATTTTTATTTCAGTATTATTCACTCTCCTTCACTTACTCTTCTGTTCTTGCTGTATCGCAGAAGGTTTTTATATCCTTGTATCCCGACTGTCAGACCTCAGAACTCACCAGTGTAAATAATGTTGTCTTACCACAGTTGGAAATCTATGGTTTGACTTTTCAGCGTCTCCCCCCGTCATTGTTAGTGATCTTAGGGCTCCAATTGCTGCCAATAAATTCTTCTAGGGACAGTTCTCACCTCAGCCTGCCTGGCGATTGGCTTGCTTGCTCTTGGGTAGTATGCTGTTAAATATGCTGCAAGATAAATGTATTTTTTCTTGTCCAGGTAACATAACCTTTGGGACACGTTGGCCAAGGCCAACTGTTGTGTGTAGCTGACACAGGGTGGTAACAGAGACAATTTCAAATGGACTGAAAGCGAACTCGTCCGTGGTGATCCTACAGCAGGCTCTTGTTGCTTAGGATCCAGTGCTTTCAGAACCCAAGTTCTGGGTTAAACTCAAAAGAATAAACTGGTCAGAAGGAGCAGGACCTCCTGGAGAGCACAGCAGCATTAACGTCAAAACCCCTTCCGGTTTCCTGAAAGCTTCTAACCCACTGAAGAATGTTTTCATGCAGACGTTCAGGGGCTGGCCAGATCCACACCTTGGAAGCAACCTGGGGTTGCTCCGAGCGCTTAGCCACAAAAGTAATCTTGTTTTCTGTATTTTGCTTTTAACAGAAAATTGCAGAACTGAACAGATTTACCTTGGAAAATAAGGAGGACTCGGGCTCGGATCATGAATCTGATGCTCTTTCTGGACCAGTGAATCCGAACCCCAGCCAAAACACAGAGCCAATGAATTCGCCGTTGGTAGTGGAGCAGGTTCGAGTGGTGGACACAGACGGGAACCTGAAAGTACTTTATCCTTCAAAAACTGACCTAACCACAGTTTCCTCTCTTCTGACTGTAATGCGCTAGCAGCTATCAAAGCTAAGAAAATGATTCCATTTCTTTTTTTTTTTTCCCCCCCATATTCAACAACGCGGCTCGTACGCAGTGAGGTGGTTTGGGTTTTTTTTAAAGAAAAGATGCAATGCGCCCTGCCTGGGCATGTGAAAACTTCCAAGTTGGATCAAGCTATGGCAAGGAGTATTGCATTCTGTCAGCCTTAACAGAAAGTCTGACTCGGTAGAGAGAACAGCATCTTCCGATGCAAACGTAAAGGCAGAGAAGGTATTGGAAGTCAGAATGCCTTAACTT